TGTGTCACTTGAAAAGATTAAAAAATCAATCAATGATGGCATAATATCAAACTAGAATGGCTATTGTCAAAGATAAGAAGACTAAAAAGTCTTGAAATGAGACTAAAAAGGCATTAAGAGTAAAGAAGGCTTCACTCTTATCTCTATATATACTATCTAGCTAGGAATTGTATGGCAATATTCTATAGGATCTCCAACACATGTCCAATTTGTAAAACATGTGTTTTAACATGTAAGATAAGTATTCTTTATGCACACCATATTCTTAGCTTATATCACAAGCTATTTATATGTGTGACACATGGTTAATTTATTGACCTAGTTTTTTTATTTAAATAAATGTGTATGTCCATGATATTATTTTGTCTTTTAGAGACATATTTTATAAGAAGTGATCATCATATATTAAAGAAGTGTAAGATGTAACAAATTATATTTGTCACATACTATGAGTTAAAATTAACCCTCCTAGATGGGATGGCTTAAATTCCTATCACAAGTTAATTAAATTAAATTTCTTAAGTTGAATGATAAATAACTACATATTATTTTATTTTATTTTTTAAGTCTAAAAATCTAATTGACTTTTTTCTAAAATAATAAAATAACATTAAAATTTAAAGATCAATAATTAAAGCAAGAATAAAAGTTAAATTTTAAATCAAATATAAAGTAATGTAAGGATTAAAAGTTGAAGGTAAAAAATTAAATTAAAATAAAATAGCATAGGATTAAAAGTTTTAAATCAAAAATAAATTAAAAATTAAAAATAAAATTAAAAATAAATAACATAAAGATTAAAAGTTAAAAATAAAAAAATAAATTTAAGGTTAAAAGTGAAGTAAAAATTGAAATAATATAAGATTAAAAATTGAAGGTAGAAAGATAATTGAAATTTAAAAATTAATAAATAATTACTAAGATGAGGTAAAAGGTTTAATTAATGTAATATTAATTAAAGATAATAAGATAATTGAAGAATTAATCCAAAAATTCATGTACTAAAAAGTGTAATTACAAGGTGATTAGGAAAGAAAAGCTTATCTTTATCATATCGAATTGAAGTAGCAATCCCTTATCAATTGAAAATCCGTCAAAATCCTCTTTGTCTTTTATGTTTGTGAATTCCTTTTTTTTTTCTTTTTTTTTGTGTGTTTGTTTGTATTAAACCTTTACTTGGATAAATTTATGAATTTATAAATTTTTGAAATATTCTATTATGCGATTTTTGAAATGTGATTTTTAAAAAGAATGGTTTTCTAATTTCTTTAAATATATATATATATAGATTTTAAAAATTAAAAATTAATTTAAAGAAGGATAATATTAAACTTTTAAAATATTATATTAGGAGTGGCTAATTCACTCACTTCTAAAAAAAATAAAAACAACAAATTAACATTCTTATCAAACTACCAAGGATATGAATTTCAAAGAACTAAAAGATCAATAAATTCTTGTGTCACTCAAAAAGACTAAAAAATCATTTAATAATTGCATAATATTAAACTAAAATTGCTATTTTCAAAGATAAGAAGTCTAAAAAGTCTTGAAATGAGACTAAGAATTAAAAAGTATTGACAAGAATGAGGAAGGCTTCACTCTTGCCTCTATATATACTATCTAACTAGGAGCTATATGGCAATGTTCTATAAGACCTCCAACATGTGTCCAATTTGTAAAAAAAATTGTCTTAACATGCAAAGCAAGTTTTCTTTAAGCATGCTATATTATTAACTTATACAACTAGCTATCCATATATGTGACACTATCAAGGACATGAATCTTAAAGAAAGAAATCCTTAATATATTCTCGTATGACTCAAAAGAACTAAAAAATCACTCAAAGATGATATAGTATTAAATTATAATAATTATAGCCAAAGATAAGAAGACTATAAAGACTTGAAACATGACTAAAGACTAGAAAGGTGTTGACAAGAGTGAAGAAGGCTTCACTCTTGCCTCCATATATACTTTTAACTAAGAGCTACGCATTGATGTTCTATAGGACCTCCAAAATGTGAAAACTTTACAAGATACATATTTTAACTTGTAAAGTAAGTTTGCTATATGTACGCCATATAATTAGCTTATTTCACAAGGAATCAACTTGAGGTTAACTTGTTGACCAAGTTTCTAATCTATCAATTAACTACAAACACATGTAAAGTCAAAGCACCATCAATGAAGCTTTTAAGAAGCTTATCTAAAAAATATCATGAAATAAATCTATTTTTATCTACTTCTACTTAATCATTTAAGTAAATATTATAGTAAATATGTATGTCCATGACAAACACATGGCTAACTTGTTGAACAAGTTTTTAACCTACCAATCAATTATAAACATATATAAAGTCAAATATGCATCTATAAAGCTTCTAAAAAGCTTTGTCATAAGATAATATCAAATCTATCTACATGTATCTTCTACCTAGCACTTCTTATCCAGATAAATATGTATGTCCATAATAAATATTTAAACAATGTAGAAAGCAAATTAAATCCTCAATTAATCTTCTCAAGTTATATTTATTTTTCATCACCAAAGATATGTAATGAAGGTCATAAATTTAAATATAGTATACAATAAAAAGTTTCTTATATAAATAAATAAAATTTTATTATATTATCCATATATTGATTTAATTTAGTATTAAAATTTCTTAAGTCATTTATTTTTTTTGAATTTATTAGCATTTGATTAAGATATTTATATTTAATTTATTTGATAAAACTCCTATCATTATTTATATAGAAGTGTCATAATTGTTTTTTTTTAATTAGAAATTTAATTTACAGCAAGCATGTAGCCCTTTGTTGAATTCATTGCAAAGTATGGACTTTTTATAAGTTGATTAATTCAATTATATTATTGAATTAATAAATTATTAAGAAAATACAAAGAATTAGAAAAATAAGCTAATAAGCTTTATAAGAGAAGTTGATAATTTTAACATAGTAGTTTCATGGCATATCACATTCATAAAATAATTTCAATAGTTGGTATTATAATATTTGAATAGAAATCAATGTGCAAATATTTGCAAATCACTTGGTCATAGTAATAAAGTATTTGAAGACTTAAGAGCTTTTAGCAATAAAAGAAGTGTTATATTGAGGATATACATATTGATAAAAAAATGTGCACAACAATAGTGGTGTAAAGGAAGTATCTCTTAAATAAAAAATAAAGAAATATTTAGAAGGTTATTGTGGAACTTGAAGACTTATTATAATGTAGGAATTGTTTTATTTTCAAAAGATTGGCCAAAAAATTTGAAGACATTACACCATTATCATTTGATATTTCTAGCTATGAAAAAGTTAAACATGATAGTGAAGAATTTTACAAAAGATTTTATTATATGAGTAAATGTGTGCAATTTAAAGATCATGAATTACCAAACTATTTATTAGTAAGATTGAAGGACTTATAGCATATAAAAGATGGTGAGCTTAATTTTTTTAGAAGTATCAAGTGATATCATAAGTTTAGAGCTTGTAAAAATTATAAATAAAGATAATTTTGAAATTTTTTATGAATTGAAGTAATTTAGAATTTCAAGTGCAACAAAAATAATGGATGTTGATTTGAATGATATGTTTATGAAAAAAGTGGATATCTTAGCTAGTTCAAATTATCTCAACTTAATCAAATATTATTGTGTTGCAAAAGTAATGCAAAAGTACTTTTATATTTAAGATATATATTTTAATGAATGTTTCCACAAACTTCTAATTTATATTCTTTATTTTGAATATATATATATATATATATATATATATATTTATATCTATATATACATTTATATCTATATATACATTTATAAAGTTTTATAGATTTTTTCAATAAAAATAATTAAATATGTCATATTACACCTCCTAATCATACTCCATAAAGTATCTATGAAACTTCCTTCAAGTTACTTAGCCTAGCTCCTTGATCATGAATTTTTATTAGGAGTAGAATATTGTGGATTATAAATTACAAACAATCTGCAGAATAGGATTAGATATGTAAGAGTCTCATTGTGATACGCAATCAAGCTTACATGTTGTAGTTTACAATTTAAAAAAATAAAGTTTAACAATCAACAATTTTTTTTATTTTAAGTTCAATTGTTTTAAGTTGTTGCTACCATCACATCATTGTTTATCACAAAAGATTTTAAACACACCTTAAAAATTTTAAACACATGTAAAATCACTTTTTTGAGGTGAGTTTGTTACTATCTATATAATAAAGAAGCTTATGTATAAGACAAAGAGACAAATAAGCCTTCTCATTGGCCAAAATTAAAGAAATTGTTAACCAAGGGAAATCCTTGCCTATTCTATAGAAAGACCTCCAATTTACTATTTGTAAGCAAAAATTTACGCGCCTAATGGCATGGATTTCAGCTAGTTTCATACAATTATCCATTGCTTTAAAACACCTGCACTTAAGCCACCAAAGCAACATTTCACATCCCCCCCTTTGGATAAAACAAAATGACAATAATCAATCTAAAATGCAATTTTATTTCAGAAAAATTGTACAATTTGCACGGAATGTGGAAACAGACATCCAACTAGTCCTAAAATGTTTCATTAACAAAACAAATGTCACAGGATGTTTCATTGATGAACCAAGTATTTACCCTACAAAGAAGTGCCCTCTTCTGAACTGGTCCAACACCACTTAAAAAATACCATTTCACATAAAAGTTGTTTTAGAATAAAAAGCTATTGAAAAAGCCAAAAAGCTTAGACAGCCTCTCATTGACCCAGACTCTTTAATATCCAAAACCCGCCATCTGCCAGCCCGTGAAATGGCAGCTCCAGTCAGTGAGCGCGTGCCCGTTGAGCGTTCCCAGCCAGCCACCAGAATCTAGCTCCGTCTTCTCATTGGTTCCCACAGCCACGTCGCGGTTCCTACCCCGTTCTACGGTCGGAGCCTTCCTCACACCATCCCCTAGACGGCGACCAGAGGGACTAAGATAATGGTGACACAGGGGAGGTGTTCGGGGGCCGAGAGGTGGCGTCGACGAGGCTCCTCATCACTCGCACCGCCGAATATTGGTCGTTAATCTGCGTGTTCTGGCGAGGGCGGCCCAGCTTTTGCCTCGCAGGAATCCTCATCACGCACCCGTTCGAGCTCGACGTCGAATTTCGCTGATCTCCCAGTTAGGTTTTTTGCTCTTTGGTGGGTGGGTAAAACCTCTTGGTAAGAAAAAGGAGCTGCACGCCGCGGATTCATGCTCAATTTTTACGCCTCAGAGTGACGCTCCGCTCTTCGGCTGGTTGGGTTTCTAGACAAGAGGTGCGTCCTGGTGTGTTGAATAGCTGTTGTTACGTTTTCCGCATGAGATGTGCTGTTCTTCGTGATTTTTTTGCAGTTTTGGGTTAGCGTGGTGTGGGAATTTAGGGTTCGATGTTGTTGTGGGGAGTTGATTTTTTTGTGGGCAGTGGATCAGAAGTTTTTGAATGAGGTGCGAGGGGTTGTGTGCACGGCACCCTTGCGAGCGACACATTTTTTTTGTGTATGGGTTTTGAGCAATTGCTCTGTGTGGGTAATAAGAGAGGATGCTTGGGATTTTGTGGTGAAAGCCAGGGGAGGTAATAGTTGATGAAGATGGATGGGGAAGTGTGGGACATTTGAAAGAGTTTTAGAGGGATCCTGGGTAGAGTAGTAGCGGAGGTGGAAATTTTTGAAGCTGAACTTGTGGATTTGTGGTAGAAGGTCATGGCGACGGCAGTGGCAGCCGGGTCGCAGGCGAGTGTGGTGGCAGTGCAGTGGAGAGGCAAGGTGGGGAAATCCGGATGGGGAGGAGCATGCGGGAGTGGCCCAATGTCGACGTATATTTCACGTAGTGTGTGGAGAACTAACGGCCCTAGAAAGCAATTGAATGGTATTAGAGTGCGGCGCGTGACGAGATGTGAAGCTTCGGGTAGGGGTTTCGATAGTCAGGTTAGTCGAATGGCAGAAGAAGCACGTCGAAGCGCTGGCAAGGCAGCTCGTGCGTTTGGCGAAAAAGCTGACCAGGTTTTTGAAGACGTTAAGCGCAAGGCCGTCGATTTCCAAGAGAAAAATGATGTACAGGGCAAGGTACAGTTTAATCTTCATTTAGGTTCACTTTTTTTTTTTTTTTTTTTTTTTTTTTTTTCTTTCCTCAAATCAATTTGGGAGTTTTTGTGCGATCGTAATTTACATATTCGCTCATGTATGTACTGTTATTAATTCCTTCGTCCTAGAATGCGATATTGAAATTTTTGAATTGGCCTCCCCATAGTTGATTTGTTATTTTAAATTACACACTTGGCCTATTGTTCTTTCATGCAACTACACGTCTTTTTTTTTAAAATAAAAATAAATTGGCACCTTACAGCAGCACAGGGGACTAGTAAGAAGTAAATAATTTATAAAGGTTGTTTACAGCTCAATATTTAGTATGAATGAAAAGGATTTCACGCATGCAAACAAATTATTCTAGATCGGAATTGCTACTCGAAGGCTCATGAAGCTGTGCAACTTCCTTGGCAAGGTGGTCTTGTTTCCATTTCGTTTGCTTAAACTGTAAATTAGGAACTGTTCATTGCTCTTACCTATTGATAGGCGATTGACTGAGCTGTGAAATTTTTTGTGCAGGCCCGGCGAGCGGTAAAAACTGTTAACTTAAAGTTTGAAGAGTTTGCGTATGATTTCAATAAACAATTGGGAAAGTGGGACCGACAGTATCGAGTTACAGAAAAGGCGCAGCAGGTGAAAGAATATGCGACTGAGCAAGCTCAGAATGTGGATAGGCAATTCGGGATACGGCAGAAGGCTCGTAACGCAACAACAGATTTCCGTCTCAAGTTTCCAACTGTATGTCTTTTCATTACCCCTTACTCCTGGCACTGTTTTAAATTTTTTTATTCATCTGCACACTACCTTTCCTTTGAAATACAGTGGGCAATACAATACCCAAAATATGAAATCATAATCTCTGTCAGTGCACCCTTGAATGAAGCATAAGTCGTTCACTGCTGTCAGGCATACTGAACGTGGATACGGTTGTGATCTGCAGTATCGAAGACAATTTACTACTTTCTTGGAGACTCCGTTTGGCAAGACTGTTGTGGTAAACTCCAGTTCTAAACTCCTGAATGTGTATGTGCGTGAAGAGCTGACAGGATTAATGTATCGGATTCTTGTGACATTCTCGCGTGCACATATTCAAGTCCTGGTCACAAGACTTTCAGCCAACTTGGATTGTGTCACTGCTTAACACTTCACTGATGCAACAGCCTTCTAACGATTACCCTCGTGTTCATTTTGCAGAGTCTTTTCCTGGTATGGTTTATTGTGTCTGGGTGGGCTTTCAGAATCTTTTTCTTCTCGCTTTGGTTTCTACCATTCGCAGGTCCGTTCCTTTTAGGAACAATCTCGAAGGCTGCAGTTGTTGAGGTTAGTTTTGACACCTTTTGTATGTTCAATCTGTTGCGCTGAATGGAGTTTCATACGGTAGAAGTTCTAAATCATTAGATTATGATAATGTACTAAACATTGTACCCAATTAGATTAGTGGGTGGTTTTTGTCTTCCTAAAAGGTAAAAATTATGCAAGCTACTGTTAAAGGCAGAATTGACAACATATAGACAGCATCCTAATGCTATTGCATGTGTTGGTTGACTACCAGGGGGCTTGTCCGAATTGTGGGGCTCGCTACGTTGGAGGGCGAAGTCAAGTGGTAACCTGTCAACGATGCAGAGGAGTGGTGTGGCAACCACGACAAGATTTTTCAAGGGAAGGGTTCTCCAAGGAAGACAAGAGTGATCCAACCATCATTGATGTCGATATTGACACCGACTAGTCCCTTTTCAATGCAGTGTTTTCGGATTAAAAAAACAACTGATTTTCCTGTATCAAAGATTTTTGTATCATTACTTGGTGACTTTGCGCTTGGAAATAACTCGAGTAACGCTCTCAGGATGTGAGCATGACATACTTCGTAGATGAGCAATCCAAGTTGCACGGTGTGCACTATTATATAGAGTGAGGAGTATTCACACGTTATCGGAGAAATTCAATATGACGGTTATTGCTACCAGATCCTATCGTCACTTCTTTTTTTTCTATATTTGTGTACTGATTAATGTTTATTTCCTCGTGAGAAAATGCATTTTATTGAAACAGTTGTCACTTTGAATTTCCATTTAACATTTTACTTTTCCAGTGATAAAGTCAATTATAGTACATATCATGGGATTGGTGTAAGCCTCGATAGCAAGCACTAATTAAAATTGATGATGGAAGAAAGATCCTATTAACAAGAAGAGAAGCTCAAATATACTACGCTACTGTCAAAAAATCAACGTTACAAAGAGATGAAGACACAACGGCATCGGTACTTAAAATTAATCAGATGCTTGAGCTTCTCCTTCAGAAGCTTTGCTATACTCTTCCTCGTCAGCTGATAATGAAAAAGGTAGAGCTTGGAAAGCACTGAACGCCTCTTCTCGTGACAGGAAACCTAAGATTTGTGCCCCTGGAGAGTCATCTTTATTTGAGTAGTATCCAGTGCGGTCACTAATGACCGTGAGCAAAGTTGTGTTGGGTTGTAGGAGCATGGTGATGGCTTTGTTGACTGGGGTTGCAGCGGTCACTGAAGGTGGTGGAACTCTCATGATGTCTCCAACACGAGCAGTCAACTGCATTACAGATACGAATCATTTTGGATCAGTGATCAGAAAATCAATATATGAACCACCTATGCTTGTTTCAGCAATTCAAGTGCTCTCATCACAATTCGAAAGGAACATGCGTTTCATAAAACAGCAGACATACAACATTTCAAACCGTCTTAAATGCAAAACAATCTGTTTGAATGAATGACGATGAGAAATAATCGGTGAGTACCTGGTTGCAGTCTGCTGCGTAGATAACACCAACACAAGTGCCTCGTTTGTCGATAACAGGAATGGAGTTCCTATCGAAGAATCTAATCGCTACTGTACCAATTACATCGTCAACTGATAGTGGTCTAATTTCCTCAAAAGGAATCATCAAATTTTCTACTATGTCATGTTGTGATACCTGCACATAATGAGAAAGAGAACGAAAACCACGTTAAATCGGTCCATACACCAATGCTTGAAAAGGACGAGAAACAAATTAATTACATACACCCAGAAAGAAAAAAGAAAAAGAAAAAAAGAGGTCAAATGCATCACTAAAACCTACTTCAATTATATCATTCTTCGCTAAATCATCGTTCCTGCATATGCAGAGAGGAACAAAAGGCACAAAAATACTCACTCCTGGCTTTAGCTTGTAAGGGCTAAAAATATCCTCGTTGAACCTGGTTAAGGCCTGCAGACGAACAACAGCCTGATACCAGTGTCAATCTCATCAGTGTCCCCTCGTTCATTCCTCATCCGGTCTAGGACATCAAAGTACATGAAAACAATGTTCGATTATGATTAATCCAAAGAATACGAAGAATGATTTGAAGATCCAAAAAGAGTGTTTCGCTTGTAAGTGCGTCCAATCGTAAGAAAGATGATAGACGAATAATCATCGAGAGGATTATGCAAAAGTGTGATGCTACTGACCATGTAGGCACGCTTGCTCAGAGGTATTCCCTTCTTCAAACCAACCATATTTTTCAATGTTTGTTTCGCTTCATTTAACTGCAGACACAGTGCAAAAGAGGCTGTCGTGAGATTTAGCCCACACTTTCACTGCTAAGTGTAACAATCGAGAAAGGAAAAGAATTCGATGAGCCCAAGACAATCGCCCGATACTCCAGTAACTGTAGCTGATCTACCTTGCCAGCATTCACAGCAGCTTCTATGTAAAGCTCATCTGCCTCAGCACGATCTTCTGCCCACACGTGACCTCCTGCTTCAGCAACCATTCGTGACCGAAGTGATCCCACTGATTCCAAGTCTCCCCTCTCAGCAAATGCCCTCATCAGTGTTAAGAACACATGAGCTCGTGGCTTCAGCTGCGGATCTTGCTTTGCACTGTTTTGCATCTCTTCCATATATATCCGTCCTTCTGTAATTAAAATACCGAATATGAGCCCTAAGCTTTGGGGGGAGTAGACCTCGCAGCAAGGCAAACTACGGATGAAAACAATACAAAGAGGCACAACATATGACGAGTACAAGACTTTTGCATAAAAATACTTTTTGTGAACGGATTTGTCGCCTGCGCGGACTTCAATTCAGATTCATATTCCCTAGAATTTCTTCTTCTTAGCTATGTTTCAAAAAAAGTGAACGTGGAGACTAACGTTGAGGTGATCCAGCTGCAATGCAGGCATCAACAATTGCAGTGTAGGCAACTCGATCTAAGACACACGTTGGAGTTATTTTCATTTCTTCCACCATGTCGATTATACCTTGCAAATCCTTTGCATCTGCTAACCCCTGCAACAGTTATTCATAAAGCTTATTGTTAGAAACTTGGTGATGTTGTGACGAAATTAATATTTGTAACGGTTACCACACAAACAATACACTATTTTCAAGCTAACAGTCATACTCCCAGCAAGGTGGCTTGTGCGACCTGCAATGCATTGTGGTTGAAAGAGCATAGTATTACACGGCAACTTAGACACAATGAGAAGTTACTTGATACGAGGGAAGGAAGAGAAATAAATAGATTAGAAACACTTCCAGTTACTATAAGTTGTGCCGAACATGTCATTCAATGCAGGATTGAGAATCTAGGACTTCAATATAATAATGTAACAATACCCGTAGGAGAGTTGTGTAAGTGACAACATCCGGCAGCAGCCTTGACGTGTTCAATCTCTTAGCTTCCTCCTGCCCAGACATTTAAATAAGAGCTTTCAGGTATTGAAAAGCTTACACAAAGTTCACAGAATAGGAGAATTATTTGCACGATGACTCCAGCTTTATCAAGGTCCCCAAGTCGCAAATAAGTCTAAGATTTCTAGAAATATTTCTATGGATTGGACCCAAATTTAAAATATACTTGCCAGAACGGGATCAAGTTGATCCACTTCATGAGTTCATTATCTGCACGAGACTAGCGAAAAGCATAACGATTTTCCAACAATTAGCAGCAGATCAGCCAAAACCTACACCCGACATCAAGATAGAGGTGTAACCCAAATTTGAGTACAAACCTTCATGGCTGAAAGTAGTTGCAAAGCTCTTCTGAGATCACCACCACGCACACATGCTAAAATAAGGGAATTAAAAGTCACCCGCTGCGGCTGTAGATTGTGTGAGCGCATCTCATCCATCAGCTTTAACGCCTCAAGTGGATTATCTGATCGTGAATAGCCCTACGAGATGACAGCAGAACAGATGTCACTCTTTCGGGAGACATTTACTTTACAGGAACATTCGTTTATCAAATCTTCTTTCAGAAAAAAGGCCACAATGATCGTTGTATTAATTGCATTACCAAGACACTAGAGCATCTTGACAACTTTCTTCAATCACTTACGCAAAAGGTATGAGAAGAACGCACCTTAATCAGCAAGTTAAACGTAAGAGTAGTGAGGCCCGTCTTCCTAACTGAAGATCTATATCGGAGAAGGACACCTCTGGCTCGAAGTGCATCCCCTGTAAACTCAACCGAAGTTATCCTCATAAGAACCAGGCTTCATTTCATTTATACTCCTGCTGCTAATAAGCAAAACAAATAAGTAATAAGAAGTTCTGAACCCTTCTCCAGTTGTACTAATCAGTATAATGGAGACGATCGCAGATAGATGCATAAGTACCATTAATCACCGAGCGTAAAAGTTGAAAACCGTCTACATAAAATGAAAAGTACTTTCTTTTTATGTGCAGGAGCATGTCGCTTTCGGCTAAGCGTATTCTGGAGTGGTATCATCCTTAGTGCACATGATTATCATAGTGATAAGTCAATTTATATTCGATAGAAGTATGACATGTCAAGGAATAGAAACCGACCTGCATGAGCGCATGCATTGACCAACGTATTGAGATGAACGTCTGTCAGCTCCACATGTCGCCCCGGAGCTCTTCCTGATTCTAACAATTCTACAAGGTCAAAAGCTTCATCTAGCCGTCGTGCCTCCCCCAAACCCTGTAAGAAACGATCTGTATGTGAGAAATCCACCAAAACGGTCCGATCAACAAAAATATTTCACAACTGAAGTTGAGATAAGCATAAATCCTGCCAATCAAACTTACACCAACAGCGCTTATTGAAACACATCATCGATTTATTCGTCCTCAGTATAATTCTGGTAATAATTTCTGCAATTAGTTAGGACAAGTTACCTTCAAAAGTGTCCCATACGTGACATTGTCCACGCCACAACCACCGGGCTCCACCATTTCATCATAGAGAGCTAAAGCACGGTCAATGTCCTTACACGCAACACACGCCATCACGGCTGCATTCATAATGATGTGATTCAGCTGGCCATGCTCTTGCTTTGCAACCTCTAACTCCTCAAAAACCTGGAAAATAAAGTACGTAGCAGGACTTGTGAGATCACACCATACACAGTAAATGTTCCTTAAAGCGTCATACGACGTACACTTTGTGGACGATGCAGCATAAACTTTCCGTAACAACACCCATATTCCTGTTGCGAAAAGAGGAATATTTCCAAACATGACTCATAAAAACATCATTGTCAACATTTCAAAATGAACTCATACTCAAAAAGTCAAATCCAAATGGCTAGAAACATTACGAGATCAAGCTGACGCCGCGCGCTTAGCTCCATAATCCTACGAGTTAACTCACGCAATTTGAATTCTTTCTTCCTCCAAAATGGGAAAGTCTTCTCATTTTCGTTGCTATCAGCACTCACAAATTCACCTGGAAGCTGATCCCGTCCCATTATTTCCAACTCTTTCCTCTTCCTCACCTGAATCATGTGAAAGCAATGTTATTTTTTTATTACTGCTCTCAAACTCAGTTATGATTAATTAAAGACCTCAGCTTCCAACCTGGTACCACAGTATTACCAATCTGTCCAGTGATAGTTCAACCGGACAACTTAACAGATGGAAACCTACAGAACTTTCGATCAGAAACTGACTACTGGAGAAGTACCAGATTCTGAACTAACTCGATTCTATAATAGGAGAAAATGAAATTTAGAACACACAAAACTTCACTTGCGGATACAGTTTACAGAATGATCATGCAGGGAAACCAGACTAAAAATTGAAAAAAAATTGTGCAACACCACAAACCAAGTGAATCCTCAGATGGGAAAAGATGTGAGATATTTTTGTACCTGAGCAAGAAGTTCCAACTGCGTTTCATAAGGCTTGATCTCCTTCGGCGGCTTGCGCCGTTTCCTCGGGCTTCTAGTAGGGCTTGAAAGTTTAGGAGGCCTTGGAGGGTCAGGGATTCTTGAGGTACTAGGCATATCAGGAATTTCTTCTTCCCAGTCACCTACCACACAAACATTATCAGTTAGTGCATTGAAACTACATTGAATACTAGCCTCTGCAACCTGTAAGCAATCTCTACCTGCAAGACAGTAAAAATCCTCGACGCCTGATTGTAGAATGAAAGACCACTTTAGGACGCATCAAGAAACACTGACAGATGCGAATTTGCGTAACGTAATAGTCCGCTGGTAACATCTAATGAGAGGCAAAGTAGTAAACTGAAGTCAGGTCTGGCACAAACCGGTGCTGATGGAGTATGACGCGCGAGGGCGGAGAGATTGAGCATGTCGGGGCTTCGACGTCGAAATTTGACCAGTTATCACATTCCAAGAACAAATTCCAGAGGTCATCAGAGCCGTCGCCATCGTTCCAGTTGCTATCTGGCGTTCAAACAATTCCTAATCCAAATACTCTACGCCAAAACAGGGAACAAATTTCAATGAGTTACTAGTTTCCCTCTAAGTCTCAAGGTTTAACATGCTGTAATCTCAAAACACGTTACATGATTCACTAATTTAGAACACCTTCATAAGTTTAAGAGACAAAGAATTCAGTAAACTATCAAGATCTCAAAAACCTAAAGACAGCCTCTATCTCTCCCAACTTTTTTCTGCCGACCCCACAATAGACACAATTCGCCCAAGCCACGGATGCAGTAATGCCAAAACACACAGCACCAACTCCTTCCCACACTGGAAGGAAATTCTCAATCAAATAACTTCAAAACCTAGAACGTTTCTAGTTATCTCTAGGACGACTACATAAACGAAGGAACAACCTTCATCTACATTACAGCAACGAGAAGACCATGACTATCTTCTGTGAGTAGCAACTACGAATAAATGATAAAATTTTTAATTAAATTAAATTAAAAAAAAAAAAAAAAAACTATGCAGTACACGTGAAAAGCTGATATGCTGGCATTAACACTGGCAACCGCATAACTCTCTCAAAAATTTGACATTCCAACAGAGATAAAATCGAGAGAGGCTCTGTATCGGATACAGAACAGTCTCCGAATCAATCACCGGCACTCGGCACTCTCCTCACCTGTTCCCTTCAGCTCAAAACCCTGCAAAGCAACATTGCCACCGCTCCAACCAAACTTCCGAGATGCGACACAAAAAGCCACGCCACTCCACCCTAACCCGAGGAGCTCCCCACTCAACGGGAGCCACGAGAGCTTATCAAAGCTGCACCGCGGACCATCACTTATTACTTAGGAACGCATGCGCTTGAAGCACCACCGGTGAATCATCGTCGTCTGAAACGCACCCCGCGAGCACAAACAGACGACCCCTGCGAATTCAATTCGTAGGTGCAGAAATGGCCGAGGCGGGGCTCGCTGTGTGCCCGCCTCAGGCCTGTCTCCGAAAAGTGGATATTGGCTCAACAGAATGAATGACATTCATCCTATTGGATGTGGCTTGGGCATCCCAATCCAAACAATCCGGGGTGGTCCAATTGCGTGATGTATATAGGTTCCAAATCTGTGGAAGCTATTGGAGGGCAAGGTGGATCGTGGTCGTCTCGTCGGACGAACGTTGCGGTTATCGTCGATGTTTTCGAAGTATCGTTCGTTTGCTCGTGAAAGTCCTGAACTGCTTTCGTAAACTAATTCCATTACTCAATGTCATAGTTGAAACAGCCAACCAATTTTTTTCCTTTTATTTCGTTTCACTTTGGTGGTCTAGTTTTTAGCATACAAGTTATCCAAGAATTACTTGCCAACTTATGTCTGGTTTATATCTTCAGTACAAAAACCAATGGGGATAAATCAATGGAATAAACAAGAGGAGACAAAAACCATCTCTAATTGGTTGCATATATCATTGTTCTTATCAAAGGTGAAGCAAAAGTGAAGCAATAACTCAACTTTCAATCAATCAGAGATCAAAATTTGCAAGTTGATGTTGGAGATTGTTAAGAGTAGCACTGTAAGATCACTAGGCATGGAACTTGGAAGCTCTCAATCATAATTTTGAGTAAATATTTTTTGTGGCCAATAGCAAGGGTTTCCACTAGTATATAATTATTTAAGGACATGATTCTTATCCATTCAACAATTTTTTTAATAAGTTTGTATTCTATTTTTAAATCCAAAAATTACATATTACACCACATTATTATTTTTTTGTACTTGATGACATAAAAATGATCATATTATATATATATATATATATATATATATATATATTTAGAAAAAATTAAATAATTAATATGTAAGTAATTTTTATAATCAAAATTATTTAAAATTATACATGTTTCTAAATAGTTTAAAATAATAGTCAAAATTATTTTTAAGTGTTTATACAAATTTAATGTTATATAGTTAAGAATACTAATCAATGTTATATAGTTTAGAATACTAGTCAATGTTATTCTAAAGATTGTTTCTAATTATATTTTTAATTTTACAAAAAGTTTTAAAGAAAATTATTTTTAATAGATACAAATGAATATGACATTATTAATGGATGCATATGTTTATCCATATTATTGGTCTATTAAAATCTTTAAATATAGTTATATTTCTAATAATTTATTTATTTAAATAAATAAATTTATAATTCTAATTATTAACAAATATCATACAAAAATCTTGCTAATTTTGAAATATTTTCATCTTCTTGTCATATAGTTAATTTTAAAAAATTATATTATATCTTAGAATTTATTTATCTCAACTTTCTAAAATTTTGATGCCACATATAATTTTTTTTTTAATTTTTCTAAGACACCAATGTTTAAGATTTTTTATTAATATATATTTTTAAGAAATATATATAATTAAATTACTACTTCTATATCTTGAATAATTTTTTTATTATGTGTATAAGTTGGAAATTATATTCTAAAGATTTTTACAAAAAAAAAACAAAAAAACAAAAAAACAAAAAAAAAAAAAAAAAAAAACAAATACAAACAAACAAACAAACAAACAAACAAACAAACAAACAAAAACAAAAACTTCTGTAAAAACTTTGACATGAGCTTTTAAGAAGTTTAACTTCAAAAATAAGAGAAGTTATTTAAAAGCATTGATTCTATAAATAGTTCTTTATATCATTAAAATTTTATCTAATATACATCTTAAAGATAAAATAAATAAAAATAAAAAACAAATTGGTCTTGATAAATTAGTTTAATAAATACTACTTCTATGTATTTTTAAAAAATAGTTAACAAATATTTTGTCTAATAGATTTAATAAAATAATAAAATATCAATATCTAAAAACTACCCAATCATTATCTTTGTATAGAAAGTTATTTTTTTAATAATATCTTAAAAAAAGTGCCTATTATAAAATATTTTAAAATTTTAAAAAATAGTTAGTTATGTCTAGATAATTTATTCTAATAAAAATTTAAAATTATTTATATAATTTTATATCTACTTTGTTCATATCTAATGTGTATTAAATACTTATATTTTCTACTATTATTTCAAAATTATCTAAAGGTTGTGATTTAAGTAGAATAGAATTTACACATTATATTATCTTGTTTAAAATTATATTTAATATTAAATTTAGAGTCTCTAAATTCTCATTAGACCTATCTTGATGGTTATACAATATTAAATAGAAGTTATAATATAGAATTTGTTTTTTCTTCTAAAGTTTTAACATTAGATTTTTAGCTATTTTATATTTTATTAAATAAATATTCTTAGATGTCTTTATTTAAAAACCATAAAAAAATCTTTAAATACCTATATTTATGTAACTTATGTCTAATTTATAAATTCTTTTTTTTCAAACATTAAATTACTTAATCTTTTCTACTATTATTTTAATGATTTTTTTGATACTCACATCTTGTAGATTTGAATATAATTTTTTTTGTGATTCCATTATTTAGTTATTTCTTATTCCTTATCTTAATCTTAATAGAATTTTTTATTATAGATTATTTTATAAATTCAAAAAAAATATTTTATCTTCTTTTATAATAATTATAACTTATTCTAGGTGTACATTTTCTCCTAATAAGTAACCTTTGAATCTTTAATAATAAATTAATAAATTAACTAATTAATTAATTTTTATAAATAGATATTCTAAAATAAATTTATATGATTTGAATAAATAGTTTTATTAACAAATTATTACAAATTAGATTAAAGAACTCATACAAGATTATAATAAGATAATAGAATATAAAATTCTTATTACAAAGCAATGCAATACAAGAACAAGAACAAGACTAGAAGGTCCAAATTAGATAACAAGACATGTATTGTCAAGACAAAAAAGTCCCTCGATCTTTATGCCTACATATGTTAGAAATTAAGAAGCTTCAAGATAACTTTCTATAGAAGTCTTTGCCTCTAGGGCATCCTAAGATACTTTTTAAAGAACTTTTTTATTAATTTGATATAAAGGTATCTTGAAAATCTTCTCTTATGACTTCCTAGTTTGTTTGGAAGTCAAGCAACCTAAAGAACCTTCTATAAAAATATTTTGAAATCTTTTACAACCTTTCAATATCTTTTAGATTCTTCTAAGAGCTTTTTAGATCTTTTAGAATCTTCTAAAACCTTTCTTAAATGAATATCTATGACATCACTTCCTCGTTTTAGCTCTAAGTTTTTTAAAGAAAAATAAAACTGAAATTTTTCATAAGTAAAGAAAATCAAATGGTTTGTACAACATATTTTATTTGTCTTTATCTAATCAAAAGTCTCATTGATCCTTATAATTAAGAATCATGATAAATATCCTTTGTTTAATATTAAACTAGAACTTTTGTATCTTTATTATGGAAAAATCATTTCAACACTACTTTTAGACAATCCTTATAATTATGTTCTACTTTAATAATAATTACTATCAATTTTTTACTATATATTTTATAATTTCTTTGTGATTTGGATAATTCTTCTTTTTAAGATTGATAACATAAACTACTTCATTGAGATGGTCTACCTTCTAGGTGTCATTTTCTTCACTATCTATAATTGAATTATCAATCTTAAATAAAGAAAAATTATTAAACTCAATGTAAAATTATATATATATATATATATTATTTTGAATTTTTTCCAAGTAATTTATTATTTTTTTTAAAAAGAAGCTTTAAAAGCATTGTATTCATTCTTCTAGATTAGATATTATGGCAAATATAACTTGACAATAATTACACATGTTATTATTTTTGATTTTGAAGGATGTTGTTGATGAAATTTCTATATTCTTTTAGACACATTGACTAAATTATGGATTGGCTCTCATATTTATTTATTAATAATATAATTACACCTATAAACAAAGTATTCCTATTATATTTGCTTTGTTTTTAAATTAAGTACTTTTTTGACCTCATATTATTTATAATTATCTATTTTAATGCAAGATAGTGGTACTCTTACTCTTTTGAATATGCTTTATTTTTTATAATATTCCAAAAAAAAGCATAGAAAATAAGATATATTTTCATAGATGTTGATAGTTTGAAATAATAAGAAATAAGATTAATTTAATTTTGAATAAAATATGGCCCTTACCTTTGATAGTCCAATTTGTTACATTTTTTATTAGTACTTATATTGCACCAGAGTAGCTACTTTTTATTACCAACATCAAAAGAAGGTTGTTTTCTTTTAAAAAAAATATTTCTTTTTTAATATTATTTTTTATTTTTTCTACTTAAAGTTTCATAGTTGAATTTAGTTTTATAAATTTTATAGTAAATTTTATAGTTGCTAGAGTATCATATTTAAAAAATAATATTATATCCAATTTTGATTATTATCCATAATTAGAAAATTTAGTAAATAATAGATAAAAATTTCAATCATCATATTGATAGTTAATGGTATATTTTGGATATTTTTTTATAATTTAATTCACTTACTCTATTTGGCCACTTATTTATAAATAGAATGGTAAAAATAACTTAATATTTATATAAAGGATTTTAAATATTTGTTTTTAAAACTTAGATACAAATTAGAATCTTTAATCTCATATGATATCATTTGATAAGCAATAATATCAATAGACTTTATCAATAAAAAATATAGTTATTTTTTCATCTATGAATTTTTATTTGTAAGGAATAAAATCTGCCATCTAAATAAATTGGTCAAAAATCACAAATATGACATCAAAAGAGTTAGATAGTGGAAATTTTTTAATAAAATTTAAGAAAATAAAAGATTAAATTTCATTGGAAAAAAGTGGTAGTTGAAGAAGTTTGTATTGACTATGTTAAGGATTCTTTGCTTTAAAACATATACCACATAAAAGTATAAATTTCTTAATAATATTCTATGTTTTTGGCTACCAAAAATCTTTAAAAATAATAGTTTCAAACATCTTATTAAATCATAAAA